CCTCTGCCCCAGAACGTTACCGCCGTTCATGGTTTTGGGGTGTGACAGATTTCTTAGGAGAAATCTAATTCAAGTGGGGGAGAATTAAAACATCTGGATTTTCAGGTATATCATGGTAAGAGTAAATTATAAGATTTATTGGGCGACTCGACGAGTTGTGAGTCCAACTCATCGAGTAGAGTCCAGTTATCCAAATGGGTTTAATGAACGGACTCGAAGAGTCAGTGTGCCGACTCGCCGAGTAGGTGTTGTGTAGTGAAACCATAAATCCCCAGGTTTGGGGCCTATATAAAGGAACTTATAGCCTCATTTGCAGCTCATGAGTTGCACAACATCACTAAGAGAAACCATAGTCACCTTTTTGAGCTAAAAGAGAGAATGTTGAGCTTATATTGAGTGTTTTGGTACATCTTTAGAGGGGAAGAGATGGAATTCAAGCAAGGAATGAGAAGAGGCTATTAGATATGTTGCTTGTCATCGAAGAGCTTCTGTAAAAGGTGAAAAGTTCATACCTTTATCATTCTTATGGATAGATCTCTTGATATTGGAAGGTTAGGGTTTATGCAACCTTTATTTAGGGTTTTGAGCTTGCAGAGTCGTATTGAGGTTTAGACCTCAGATCTGGACCTTGTTAGGTCCCTAGTGTCCAAAGGTTCCAACTTTATTCACCTATATGAAGGATATTGTGCTTGACACATTGTGAGATCATGTTTTGGTATGTTGGAGCAAAAACTACCATGCATGAATGTAAAGATTAAAGATGTAAATGACAATGGGGTCTTGGGATGCTAGATCTAGTGTTTGGAGTAGTAGAGCTACTTTGAATCGTCATGGGATGCTAGATCTAGTGCTTCGAGTATAGACGAGTCGAGTGGGGTTTTTCCCCGATGGGTCTGGATATGGGTGACTTGGCGAGTTGGCGAGATAACTCGACGAGTCAAGGTGGGTTTTCGCGATATGACATAAGAAATAAGGGGATTCGATGAGTCACATAGATGCACTCCGCGAGTCGGGTCAAACATGGACTGTTGACTTGAGTTTGACTTTTGTTGACTTTAGGATTTCATCATAATGAATAATGGAGACCATGGAGGGGTATAAATGGTCTTTAACCCAATCCAGGAGTTAGAAATATAAAGACATGGAAACCTTTTTGTATTGAGTATGAATAGAGGATTAATTAGAGAGTTGTGATATCCTGCATTATGCCTTTGTGATTTATGTTGTATATTATGTTGAGCTTACAGAGTTAGCACCGAAGGGTCCATCGGAGTTGTGGGACCGGAGTGTTCCACCGAGACACATTGACCAGAGCGTCTTATAGTGATATATCCTCGAGTGGCTAATGAGTTGTGTGTGTGGTAATTTGGGGAACTCACTAAGCTTCATGCTTACCGTGTTATGTGCTCTTGTTTCATGTTTTTATCAGAATCGCGGTAAGGTGCCGGCTTGATTGTACACACCAGAGAAGGAGCTATATTTTGAGGATCCTGGATTGTTAACTAAGTAATTATGGAGTTGTATTTGGTAAATTAAATAAATGGTATTTTTGTAATACGCTTTGTGAAAATTGTGTGATTTTAAATGAAAATTTTGTTTGAAAATTTACAGTGTTACATGTTGAAGTAATCGGCTATATCACTGACCTCATTAATGTGCTTTTAAGCGTGCTCTTGGTCATTCCAATGAAATGGTATTTCTTTCAATTGAGAAAGTATGTTTCTTTTTAACTCAAAGTTAGCTGTGTTGGGAATTGTTGGTTGCACATGTCTTGGTCTGGTGTCTTCACACATTCGTCTCGTATATGCCTCCATCGTCATGTAAGTAATCTCTGCCTTGTTGTTTTTAGGATTGATTTCCAGTTTGCTTCCTTTTTTGATTCTATTTCGGGCTCGTTACATTCTTATTTTTTTGTTAGGAGTGTTCTAAAAACTTTCGAATTCTCTTTCTAGAGTATTGTTGGTTCATTCTCCAAGTTTAGTTAGCTTCTTCTTATGGAACACAGGATCGTGAAATGGTGGTATGATTGTTGTTTTTGATCCTTGGGTTAAATAACTAAAACAAAAATAGATGAAACTTGTAAAAAGAACAGAACGAAAAGTAAAAACTAATTGCATAATGACCACGACATAGTGATTGTTGCCACGACGTGGGAAATCAATCAGAAGAAAAATAAAATAAAAATTAAGAGAAAAATAGAAAGAAAAATTCCTAATAAATAACAAATTAAAATTATCTAAGAATTGACCGTTCCCAGACAACAGCGCTAAAAACTTGATGTGGAATAATTATGCACTAGTTTTAACCAACTAATTTAACTAATTATTACTCCTAAGGCAGTGTACCTAGTTGAAAAAAGAATCACAAAAATAGTCGGTTATCGAACACGGGGAATATAATTATTAGCTAGTTTTATCTACTAAGTTACCTAAAATACCATTTAATTAAAAAGCGTTTATTCTCTAGTCGCAACACTAAAACAATTAATTAATACAACTAAACTAAGAAAGAAACTAACTATTGCCTAATGAAACTAAAAGCAAAACTGAAAGCAAGAAAAACAAACGAAAATTTTGGTCATGATAAACGGAAGACATTCATTTAAATTCGATATACATCTTCTTATTGTTTATTTAGTGGAAGTGCAATGGATTAATGATTTATTGATCATCGATAACAAATTATTGTTCACATACCTAATCCTTTAGAAAATACGCTCATTCATATGGTGATCAAGCAGATAAACTAACAAATTTACTAGTGTTAGACTTATAGTGGATTGATCTATTTGGTTAATTTAATAAATCCGATATATGATTGGTTCTCATATATTAGCTCCTACATATACTTACCCACCTTTCTATTTGACCATAGGTTTTCGTCAAAACACTAGTCTTACAATTTTGCAATTCACAATATCATAAGATTCCAGTTATTCAACAATGATGGTCATACAAATTTAATTAAACTCAGCAATAAACGGAAAAGTAGTTATCATAAGTATAGAGATGTTTTTTAATAAGCTAACATAACAAATAATCAACCTAGAATAATCCATTCCATAAATTTACTCATAATAAGCAAGTAATCTAGTCTACACGAAATTCATCTTTTTAGCCCAAAACATCAGCAAACGAACCTGTAAAAACAAAATTCAACCTGTAATCCATGATCAAGCACAAGAAGAATGCGTAGACATAAGAAATTTTGCCTAAAATCTCTCAAAATCAAGCTTCTAATCGATCTTCTGCACTTCCAAGCTTCCAAATAACAATCTTGGCCTTCAAAAGTCGAAAAAAGTTCCAGCGAAAGTTAGGTTGTGAGAGGAAAGTGCCTTCTATATGTATTTTTCTCGAAGTCAGCTCACCACGTCATGGTAAATCCATGAAAACGTGGTCTTTAGGTTTTTCATCTAATCAACAAGTCTTCGAGGTTCATCGGGAAACATCAAGACTCCACGTTGTCGTTGTCAGACTTTTCTTCATTTTAGCCTTGATCCAAATCCCCAGCTTCCACCTTTTTTCCATTTTGTCCCTGAGCATGTATTTTTAGTTGTACAACACAACAAATAATAGATTAAGTATCTTTTGTCCTATAATGAGCATAAAATTGGCAAAAAAATTATTAATATATATATATATATATATATATATATATATATATATATATATATATATATATATATATATATATGCACATATTAGTCAACATCAAAACACGATAATACAGTATTGTAAACGCCAAAAATTTCAACCATCACTCTTATTAACGTCAAACCATAGACTAAAAAGACAACTTCTCAAAAAGTCACGTCACTTCGTGAGAAGGTTAATACATTCAAATGCTACACACTACTACAGTTCAAGAAATATAAATGTATGTGGTACTTAAAAAGTTACACACTACTAGAAAAACAGCCTTTTACGACGCTCATTGCACGTCGTAAACGGCTCAGACGACGCGCAAATGTGCGTCAAGGAAGGCCCTGTCATAAAGAGAGACGACGCGCATTTACGACGCGTGTTTACGACACGCAACGCGTATCACGGAAGGCCCTGTCATAAAGGAAGATGACACGCATTCGCGTATCGTAACCTTACGACGCGTGTGTTAACGACACGCAATGCGTATCAAGAAAGCCCCTGTCAAGAAAGGTCATGTCATAAATGAAGATGACACGCATTTTTGCGTATCATAATTTTAAATGTTTAAAAAAAATTCTTTATAGATTTACTTATTTTCAAATTAAATTTGTATTTAATGTTTCATAATAGAAAATAAAATATCATATACAAAAAATAGAATCCATTGCATAAATTTAATGTCATACAAATAATCGTTCCATGGAAAGATAAAACAAATCATAGAAGTTGTAACAAAAATTTACAAATGAATTAGATACAAAAAATACAATCCATTGCCCCTTTGCTAACTAATATGTACAAATTCACCCTTGTTTCTAATCATTTTCTTAAATACTTTACAAACATAATTCATCCATAGTACCTGAACTATAGTTGTAGCCTTGTTTCTTCTTCTTTTGAACTCATCTCTTGCAACCATTACCCTAATCTTAGTTTGAATAGATACCACAGCTCCTTGTCAATTATGTGAAAAATACAACCGGAGAGTGGCCTACCTTCATAATAGCAACAACTAACGAAGCATGAATGAAAGAGAAGGCAATACTCACAACAATAGTTGCAGTGAATGCATCTAGGTCCTACAAGATCATTAAAATCACTATTTAAATATACACTACATATAAAGGTGTCGATATTGTGATTACATGTACTTAATATATAAAGACTCCAACAATAAATAGATATGTTATGTTACCTTGAGACACCTTTGATGGGGATCCAAAATGTCATACCAATTTGGGATCTAAAATGCAATACAATGAAGAAATCCAACATTATTAATTTTGCAAAAGAGTACCTATAGCACCAATGTTTATAAAGGTCCCCATGGCTCCATCATTACCCTAGTCCATGTACTCATAAATCTTTCTTGTTCCTGCAAGCTAGCTGTAATGGCATTCCTGCAAGTGCTCCTTCTCCCATGGATCCTTGATCAAAAACCTAAATAAATTTTAAACTTTTATTTATATTCGAATATTTTTTGTTGTATATACAATAACTGAATTTGACATTTATAGTTTAGTAGTTGGAATTGGAAGAATCATAATTTCTCATGCCTTTAATTGGCAGGAAATGGAATGGAATTTAACAAAAAAGGAAGAATAGAATTCAATGGAGAATCCCATCAAACATGGAATTTGAAGGAATCTGATATAATTTAATTCCATCCATTTGCCAATCAAACATGCCATGGAATGGAATCTCCAATTTCAATTCCATCAGAACCATGATAAGCATACCTTAACACATTTTCCATCATTTGAAAATGATAGAGCAAGAACACGAACAAGTTCCATCAAAGTACATATTCGATATACATCCTGTACATAAATATAATTTATATTTATATTTTATAACAATTCAATTACTGAAAAAGGAAGTGTTCCTCACTATGTTGGGGTTCAGCTTTGGCTATCATCAACATTACAAGTTGTCTCAGTATTGTCCACCGCCACATGGAATAAGCTGCAGAAGAAAGTTCAAAGCAAGGAAACAAATTCAAAATTCTTAAAAAGGTTAAAAATCTTTAAAAAAAAGCATCCAAGGACTTTGATACCTGTAAACTTTAGTTCCTTGTCCAACTTATCCTACAATACATCTGTCACACCCTTCTCATCTGTCATGAAAACCCCCATGACCTATATAAATCAAACATCAAAGCTTCAATAACAAAACCAAAGGGAAAATCTGTTATTTTTTTGGAAAAATCAAACCCGGCCAAACGAACCTGAGGGTGGAGGAGGTGCACCTCGCCCTATTGCCGCTAAATTAGGGTTGACTTTCTGACCGGCCTCCTGAAGTATGGCAATAAGTTCCTTAGCAAACCGAGCATTTGTTGCTGTAAAGAAAGTGTATGCTGTCCCTTTAGCCCCGACTATTCCTGTTCTCCCAATCCTATGAACATAATCTTCCAAGGAACCCTGGAAATCATAATTTATCACATATTTCACGTCCTTCACATCTGTAGATGTCATTATTGGACTTTTACTAGCTTTGAATTCGGATAAAACCTAATCTCTTTCTGCTTGCCTTTTATCTCCATGGATTGATAATGCGGGTCACCCGTCCATTCTGAGCTGGCGGGTGATTTGGTCACACCCTTTCTTCGTGTCCATAAAAATTAGAATTCTACTCCCATCCATGATGTCATCCAACAGTTTCACCAATCTGAAAAAAAAAATTATAAAATTTTATTATTTTAAAGCTTCTAAAAAGTTGAAAATAAAAAATCATCTATAAAAACGGCCTGCTTACTTGTTGTACTTTTGATTCTGAGTAACAATATCCACATGTTGCTGAATCGAATGGTTAGCTTTTAGGTCTTGTGAACTAATCACCACCTGTCCAAATTTCAAATGTCCAAAAAAAGGATTAAATATGAAGACATGGTGAAAATAGAAAAAAAGTAGTCACTTTGTATGGGTTGTAAAGAAACTGTCTTGCAAGTTGTTCGACTTCCTTTGGCCATGTAGCACACCAATAAAAGGTTTGACAATCTGGTCGCATCTGTGTATATATAAAATCCCATAAGATAAGAAAAATTGAAAATATATATTTTAGTTTTCTCTTATTATAAAAGGCAGGTTAAAAACTACTAATCACAATTCACAAACCTGTGAAAAAAAAATTCATTTGAGGTTCAAAACCCATGTCAAGCATCCTATATGCCTCATCCAACACAAGGTAATTCACCCTCCTCAGGTTTGTATGATGAGACTCCAACATATCAATCAATCTTCCAGGTGTAGCAATGATAATATGAACACTTGAAATAAAAGATTTAAAAAAAATGATGATGAAACATGTGCTTTACGCACAACAAAGATAGATAGATAGATATAATGCTGGATAATGTTGAATACGCTGAAGAAGCATAAGGATATACCCGATCCATAGTAGTAAATTCATCTTTGATCTTATCACCACCTACCTTTCTGTAAATCACGAACTTGAGGAACCTTTGGAACCCCACCATAAATGCAAGTATTCTTAATCTTTGAAGTTATGCCAAATTTAGTTGCTTCTTGTTCTATTTGAACAGAAAGTTCACAAGTTGGAGCTAAAACTAACACAATCGATCCATCTCCTTTTATTGTGATACCTGTAAACTTGCCGGAAACGGGTTATCCTATTCATGTTCTGATTGTGAATTTGACCTTCACGTCCTTTGTGCTCATTCTATTATCGGTACTTCCCGTACTTATCAACCCTCAATGATTCACCCCAATCAAACTCATGGTCAAGAAATGAATCCATAAAGTGGACAGAATTCTTACCAAGAACAAAATGCCTGCCCTCCTACTAGTGTTCATAACCCTATTACTAATTTCCAATATTCTTTCATGGCTCCTGTTATTGTTGGGGTTCAGCTTCGTGATTGCAGCTCTACATTTCTCTTCATCCTGCAATAAATGCTCTAGTTCTTCTATTTCTTTCTTAAGTTCACTGACTTCCTCATTCATATACATCTCTATCACCTGATCTTGTCCTTCCACTGAATCAAAGCTCCTACAGGATGAATTTTTACGAACATTTATAATTAACTATTTAAACATAGTTTCTGAGATTATTATGTTTAAAATGTGATAGAATATCATCTTAAGACTTAGCTGTTCATCAAGTGTGAAATGTTCTTTGGTCCAATCACAAGAAGCACCAAGTCGCCTTATCTGAAGTCTTCTCTACCTGATTCAACCCTCTTAATTCATTCAGATGCCAACATTCTTTCAACAACCAACTAAAAACAATATCTGTTAGATATATAATATATTAACTAAGTAGACTAATACAATAATCATAAATCCATTTGTGGAAAAACTCAAACCTGAGTTGCAATGCCAGCATGATCAGTTCCAGGGAGCTACAGTGTAGGTCTGCCCTTCATCCTGTTGTATCTGATCATAATATCCTGGAGCACAATTGAAAATATGAATGGTTTGTTTATTTACACATTGAATAAAGAAAAAATGATGAATTTTACAAAGTTTTTATGTGAATCTATGTTGTTAGTAAACATTTACCAAACCTCGAGAGTTACAAACATAGCATGTCTCATGTGCAATGAACCAGTCACGTTTGGAGGTTGCATTGTGACAACAAAAGGTTCATATCCCTTATCAAAGTTTGGCTTGAAATGCCCTTGGGAATCCCACCTAGAAGCAATCAATGATTAATACATAGAAATGATGATATGATAATCATTTTTTTCAGTTAATACAAAACATGGCACATTCGATCAAAAGTAATACCAGTTGCATACACTCTTTCCAGATGAATTGCCTTCAATCTGGTATAATAAAAGTGGATACTACTTAGACATATATATATATATATATATATACATTTAGGCTCATTAAGTGTGGCCATAAAGCTAGAGTTCCATCATACAAAAGAAGAACTTTGAAATTACCTGGTTCGATTCAACACCCCCATCAGAAAGGTTTCCATTATCTTCAGATTCATCTTTTATAGCACCTTTGTGAAAACATGTGAGAACAAATTTAAATTATTGACAACCAAATCAATAAATAAGAAATTTAAACGCCAGATGTTGCAGGGTGTATGATCTTTATGACTAACAGTCAAACATTTTACTTAAATATGTGCGAAATCAAACAAATGTTTTTACCGGATTGTCATAATTATATCGTACATATGTAACTAGCCCTAATTCGTATATCTCCCTTTTTAGCACGATAAGAATCCAAAAATCACAAATGTTAAACTATGTGTCATTGTGATTTCTACCAATTTAGCTTTGAATAAGTCCCCATATTTGACCAATTGCTGCTTAACTATAAAAAAAATCGGATATGAATCACAATTGTAACTAAATGTGATCGACCTCCAAATACAATTATATTGAAGGCTATTTGACCATTTCAAATACGATCACAATTGAAAAAAAAATATGAATCTTAAAACAATTAGGTCAGATCAAGGGATTGCTTACCTGTGGACGACATGAATAACCTCCATCAATGATTGAACTCATTCGATCCATTTAAAAGCCTACCCTTTACCAAATCGATTGAAGACGTCATATTGAAGGGTGTTTGTAACTGAAATCATGAGATTCATGATTTTAGTAAGCTAAGTAAACAGATGATGGAGTGTTGACATGGGGAAATATGTATTCGAGCCCTAGAAGCTGAGAAGTAGACACATCTATGAAGCGCGGTACTTGCAATCAATTTGTTGGATTTGCTGGTCTGATTTTTAAGAAGATTTTGTCTAGTCCGGAGAAAAGTGCTAGTTCTTCCAAAGTTTGGGAGGATGGATCAATGTAACAGGGCTTAGGTCTCCTACAAGGAGAAGCGAGCATGAGATCACTAGACCGGAGGTTGCCGACAAGGTGAGGTTGTTGGCAAGGTGATGTAGCCGACAAGGTGAGGCGAGGTGATCAGGTGAGATTGTCGATCGTTGTAGAGGTAGAGCACTGAGAACGGTCGTCTTTCATCGGAAGTCGACGGAGGTGGAAGACACTAGGAAGGGTCGAATAAGCAGCAGATGGCAGAAGATGAATGGAGGTATGAGAATCGAGAGAGAAGAAAGAAAGAAAGAAAGAAAGGGGGTTTTCAGCGGGGATAAGCTAGGGTTTTCAGCTGGTGGAAACCAAGAGGGATTTTTAATTTTTGGATTTCATTTCCCCCTCGGATGAAATGCGCGTTTCATTAAAATTTATAAAGTGACATGGTGAGACGACGCACATTTTATTTAAGGTGCCCTCCGTGTTTTTTTATTAGACACTAATTTTAGGGCACGCAAAAAATGCGTGTTCTCTATGCTTCATATTTTGGAAAACTTACATCAAATTTTAGGGCACGTACAAATGCGTGTCCTCTATTAGCGCGTGTCATTGATTGCGCATCGTAAAAGGCTATTTTTCTAGTAGTGACAGCGTCGAAAACTATGAGGAGATTGGTTAACTTTAGGGAAAAGTCGTCAAATTGACAAATGTATGACTACGTAAAGTAGGAATTATGATTCAAATAAGAACTAAGACTAAAGTTATTATGACGAACATATGATTTTATTGATAATAAAAAAAATAGTCAAAAAATAAAAGTTAAAAAAAGCCAAAACGACCAAATGGAAAGTTGTAGAGAGTGAAGAGATCTACACGGATATATAAGAGTCGTCGACAATGTAGTTTGTATGCGAGATTGACCAATTTTTGAAGTTTAATTAATACGCCACGAGCACTCGCACACACTCAAGCATGATTTCATTGAGATACTGGATGACATGATATACTGAGGAGATGACATGTGGCATCATCATACGGTTTGTGTGTAATTACACGACACACAATCCTCAACACGCTCCCTAAAACCTGCTATACAAAGCAAGCTTCGGCATATGTTTTTCCTCACCCCTTTCACTCATTCTCTCTCTATATAGATTCTCATGCCACTAACTCGAATGTCTATCGAAATACTAGCTCGTGGATTCCTACCCTACAATAATGTTTTGATAACTCTTACGTGAGTTCATGACCCCATTCTCAACTATTTTCAAGAGGGAATACACGTTTAAAATACAACTTTACGTACGTATCACTAATTATAGTTAGATACTTATGCCCATAGCATTAAGATAATATTATGCCCAATAATTACTCTGCCTAAGCTCTTTAGCTAGTTTTTACGCTTGCTAGTTGCCGAGAAACGTTGAATCTCATTATTATAGTCACATTTGCATAAGCTTACTACTTAGTGCTATTCTGCCCAAATTCTCGGCTATGCTAAACACACACAACATATATATATATATATATATATATATATATATATATATATATATATATATCATCATAAAATATAAATACAATGCGAACGACAACATGAATGACCATGGGAGACCCCCCATGACAGTAGTTAGATAAGACACAATTCATCAACACATTGATAGATTTTCAGCTAACACCCAAACTATAATCGTTAATTCTTAGGTGAATGAGAGAGAGATATTTATAGATATATAAAGGTTTGATACTCCCACCTATAGTTCCTAGCTACAACTTGACGGTAAGTTTAAGCAAGCATAACTTCCTAAACACAGTGGCGTCTGATGAAGCATCACAATATTTTCTTAATCAACAGTCATAGCTCGATTATAGAAACTCATCGTAACTTTGTCAACCTAAAACTAGCTATCGTAGCCTACTAATAAGAATTAATTAAGTATTGATAATACATAAAAACTCGGGGAGTGAGTTTTGGTTCACACAAACTCGAGGAAACAATTTCGAATATGACATCCACTATTCTTGAGGAACTCCTTGGGAAGTAGTGCCTACAACAAAATAAAAAGAAATATTATGATAATATTATCTAACTCTCACCTTGAGATCCAGTAGCAAGTAAAATATACATCTATCTAAATCAAGATTCATATTTAGTCACTAAACTATATAAATCCTACTGCCCAAAACACTGGAAACTACACTCACACACTGACATAGGTTGAGCTTATACCAAGTGCTAACTTCTATACATCAAAAAAGTATTTTTTTTTAACACTTACCAATCTTGAGAACTCACCAAGATTATGTTAAATCTCTTAAAATCACATGTATCCCTAGGTCAATCTATAAAGATAAAAGACTAAGCACATGGTACAGACAAGTGTTAGACTATCAAAGGGAGTGGAAACTCAACACGATGACCTCTTCTAGAAAGCTAATACTTCCAAAATTCATGCCACTCGGTTTTCCCACCACCAGCGCGAGGGTGTGATAGATTGCGATCCAAGGATCATGTTTAACTGGATGTCTATAAAAAATAAATAATTGATGAACTTACATTAATACATCAATTAATGCTTGGTGCTTTTATGAATTGGATGTTGATGAATGACATTCTTCATCATATGCTATTATGGGCAGTGAAATATTGCTAGATGCTCACCTCTGTCTTGTGCAAGTGGGAGATCGAAAGTTCTAGTATGACCAAGATTCATTATAGAATGATATATAGCTATTAACATATGATCCTAAAGAGTCACACTAATAACAAGTTGATCCAAATATATTATTTATAAGAATTTGATTCTTGAAAAGTAAATACAGTTCTTGTAATTGATTGGTAATTATTTATTTTTGAGAAAATAATATTATTTTAATATAAGTATCATAATATATCAAATGGTATGTTCTATTAAGTTATGTACGACTTTTTAGACTATAAACACAATTTTCCTTTTCTTTAAAAAAATGAACTAGTCATGTTGTAACAGGATATGGTATTTTCTATTATAATATTCAAGGGGATATGCTTTAGAAGCATGTTGCGTAAAGTGTTAAGACCCATGGGATAAAAATTTGGGTAAAATCCTTAAGAAAATCATTCTATGTAGCAAAAAACCACAAATTTTTTCACTTTCCCTCTCAATATGCTCTCTAGTTTTTCTTCTCATAAATGGTTAAGTCATAAGAAGATGTTTGATACTTTACAACAACTCTTGTTTAGAACAAAAGCCTTTTTTGTTCTTAAAGGCTTAAGAGTGTTATTATAACAAGAAGAAAACTAGTACCTTATCAAGATGGCTAAATGTTAGCGGATACTTTTGGAGAGCTTCATCCTTGGAGCTAAAAGCCATATTCATCAACTTCCTAATTTGCAAAAGGAACAAAAGTCTTCAAAAGTTGTTTCAGTTTGTTCTTCTTGGTTTTACTTAATCTTTCTAAGTCTTGCAAAATGAACTTTTGGTAGAAATAATACTAGTTTTATTTTGTCCAAATCTTAAGTCTTCCATTGTTTTATATATATATATATATATATATATATATATATATATATATGTATATATATATATATATATATATATATATATATATATATATATGTGTGTGTGTGTTTTTGAAACATTTTTGAATAAAAACCCAACACATCAACGGCTACCACCTATACTGCCAACAAACCACAACATTATCTTTTGTCAAAAGCATACCCCTAAGATACCAATATCGACTACCATTAGATCACTCACTACCCATTACCATCTCCAGTGGAAGCTCAAAACTTCCTTCTTTACCGTAAGCATTTCTCATTTCCTTTTCTCTCCTCTTATTTCATCTTTTCCCTATCTCTAACTATCACCACCATTAGAGGACCACATCATGAGACACCGCTTTTTTGTATGTTACCATCTTCCACCCCTACTACAACCACATGACCAACATTGCATACTGTAGGTTCATTCTCTCTCTCTCTCTCTCTCTCTCTCTCTCTCTCTCTCTCTCTTTCTCTCTCTCTTTCTCTCACTCTCTATCTCTCTCTATTTATCTCTGTAAACCACTTTACAACCACCTACCACTTAGCCTTATTTGAAAACCCTAGAAAGTGTTTGAGTTGACAGTAAGAATGCATCATACTTCTTTTGCAACTAATGGTAGAAAATCGGTGGTTGGTCTACACATCTTCGGCAAGATGACCAATTACATATATTTTATTGATATTTTGGTTTGAGTTTCTCTTATGCAGTTATCCTTTTTGATTTTGTAGGTTTCATTATGCATCTAGACTCAATTACAGTTATGAAATCACTCATATTTCCTCATTTTTTTTTTCTCTTGACGTAACTTTAACCCATTTTCAATCTGATTATTATATGTGTATAGTTATTTCATTTTTACAGATGGCGTTCATTATCTATAAAACACAACGGTGTTTATATTTCCATCTCTTAAACATAAATATGACAAATCTACCAAAAAAAACTCAAAGATAATAAAGACAAACAAAAAGGTACACATTACATAATTTGTTTTTTTACACATGATGTTGGAAATAAAGATTCAAAGAAATATTTTTTGCTATATTTTAGTGCAGGAAAAGGCTAATGATTTAGCGTCTAAAAAGCAAACAAGTTCAACCAGTAAGTGACATAAAGGTGTTGTCAGAATAAAGATGTGGTTTTTACATCCCTTAACATTAACTTCTATAACACAAAATATCAGATT